CAGAACTGAAGCCACTCCCCAAGTCCACATTTGAGCCAAAGATTAGACCAGTCTATAAAACAAACAACACACGAGAGGAATGTGCTTCTTAGTCCAATCAAGTATACAAGACCAAATGGGCAACACATGCCCAAAAGCAAAGACGAGAAGGCAGGAACGGACAGGAAAACCGGATGAATGGACACAGGGAACCCAGGGTGGAAACGGGGAGAGTGTTGACACATTGTGGGGATTGCAACCAATGTCACAAAACAATTTGTGTATAAATTTTTGAATGAGAAGCTAATTTGCTCTGTAAACTTTCACCTAAAGCACAATAAAATTTTTTTTAAAATGGTAACTGGGAAAGTCAGGCAGCGTCTCTGAGCCTCAATTTCCCCTTCTGTAAAATGGGAATAATAATCTGTCTACCTCACAGAAACACTGTTTAAGGATCAAATGGGTACATTCTACAGTACTGAGGAAACCATGTCATGCTATACAAATCCTGACAGACTGTGAGGATATTCAAACTCCCTGTGGAGCTTCTCATACCAACCCTGGAACCCTCACTGCCTCCTCCTTCTTACACCCCTTCCCCCCACCAACACCTGGGTTTTCACCTTCTCACATCCTTGAATTCACAGAAATAGTTCACCATCCAAATTTCAAGAGACAAGCACACTAATTCCCAAACTCCATGAGGATGTAAAAGGGAAGGAGAGGGACATAAACCATTTCACCTCCTGCCTCGACATGCCTCGGTTCTCCCTTTACATGGCCAAACTGCAGAAAGGCCAACAAAAAAAAGGGGGGGGTGGGAGTGGTTCCAACCAGCCACATATACATTATGTCCACTGTGGTTGGTCTGCCTTCTCTCCACTGCCAAGTCAGGTCCCCATCTGGGGACTGCTGAACTAATCTAAACGGGACTCTGAGGCAATACAGAGATTAGTGTTTGGGAGGAAGAGATTATATGCATTTTAGGCCACATTCCACAGCCAAAAGGAAATTATTATTAGCATGGATAACCGAAGGTTAACTGGACTTGGAGACAGCAATCACTCCCTTGCAAATATTCTTCCCTCTCTCTCCACAAGTATTTTTTCCAGGCTCAGTCCTTCCATTTGCTTGTTGTTGAGTCCTCACATCCACTCATCTATCCATCAGGGTGTGCAGCACCCACAAAACATTCCCCCCTTCAAGGTTTTCAAGAAGGGAAGGGTTGAGGAGGGGGAGGGAGACACCTTACAAAGTTGAATTAATCCTTTGGAGGAAAGAATTACAACCACATTGTAAACGTTCCCAGTGACAGAGGTGGCTGGTCAGACTCTTGGGGTGGGGGTGGGTGGGTATCATGTACTCAGATGCCAAAGGGCCAGTGCTTCTCTGCCCATCAGGCATGAGAGCCCAAAAACAACTCCTTCTGGCTCTAGGCAGGGGAAGGTCCATTTTGCAGAGTCAAGCTTATTAAGATCAGCTTGGAAGATTAAGCCTAGAGCATCAGCCGGTTGGCAAGTCTCCATTTAAACCCTAACTTCGAGAGAAGGAAATCTTAATACGACCTATGCAATTTGGGGCCATATCAGCCACTTGGAAAAACCGAGACCTATGCGGGTGCAAACGCTGTTTCGGTTTCCTCATTCAGGCCCCAAACATTCTCCTCATTCTGGAAATGAGATTCACCCCATCACCAAGCCCCACCATTCCATAACAACCAGTCTGGTGAAAGCCCTCAGTTGAAGCCACCTCCAACCTGAGGTCACCTCCAAGCCACGTCCCCCCTTCTTCCCCAGCAGTTCCAAAACCTAAAGCCAGCCCCGATCCACCCCTGGGGCTTACAAGACCGGGCTTGGGCTTGCCTCCCACCCTCTAGTTGGGGACCCAAAGTCAGCCTCCGGCCTACCAAAAGTCAATGGTGCTGGAAGCATACGCCCCTCTTTCCCCTCTCCTGGCTTCACTGTCTATTGCTTATATTAAAAAAAAAGAAAACATTGAATCAGGGGGTATGTTTTAAACATGGACACACAGAGGGAACAGACATATGCTCAGACAGCCCCAGAGACCACCCCACACTCCCCACTGATTCTGGAGACAGCTCATCCAGGCCCTTTTGGGCAACCTTTTATCAAAATGCAAAACCCTCTTCCCACCCCCCGTCTTTAGTAAGTGCTGAAAAGCCAAATCACCAGCAAACCTACCTGTCTATACTCTGGGGTAACCTCACACTCATGGTTTCTCGGTGTCTCCACGGTTCCAGAATCCTGTACCTTCGGTGTCTTGATCAGGATTGAATCACTTGTGATTTTTCAGAAAGGTGAGAGGGCCTCCCAACTTGAAGACTGAATCCTTTTTCCTCCAATTCTCAGGACCCTGGTAACTGAAGCTCCATTCTATTTCCACCAGTTAACCTGGTCTCCTTTCTTAGCCCCTTTCCCCTCCCCCCTCAAAAAAAAAAAAAAAAAAAAAGGGAGAAGAGGAAAAACTGTGACCTTCTTAGCAACCAAAAACCAACCACAAATCTCTTCAAGGATAGAGCTATGGGCTGAAAAATGAATCACAGAAAGAATGTGCCTTCAAAATATCAGTCTTAACTGCAAAATACAGATAAAAACCATCCTTTTAATCCAGTTTTCCCAGCTGTCCTCCTGTTGGCAAGAGAGCCAAAGGGGGAAAAAAAAAATCTCTGGTCTCCAATGCTTAAAATGACAACAGATATATTTGGGGGGAGGGGGAGATGAATAAATCCGAATTGGCACTTGGAAAAAATCTTCCAGCTGATTTGCACAGTAGAAAAATAAATAAAACCATACAATAGTATGTACACAACAGCACTCCTTCCAAGTCTAGTGCAACCCTAGCGACCAAAATTTATGGATTTAAAAAAAAAAAGCTTTTACCTGAAAGGTTTT